AGTTTCTGCTGGTATTATCTAAGCTCTAAACAGAATTCTTTATTTGAAATATACGACTTATATATATACTATAACATCTGAAATTTTAAGCGGAGGTGACATGAAGCAAAAATCATTAATAGTTTTAGCAAGAAAAAAAAAAAATTTTAATAGCACTTCTCAAATAATATTAAGGCAACTTTAATCTTTGCATTAAGCTAATCGTAGTTAGGAGATTGATGGAAAATGGAAAAGTCAAAGTCCTTCGAGTTGTTCTTGCGGGAATGGAAAATGGTACTGATACTGTTCAAGCTTCATGTGAGGGTGAAAGTAATGGTAAGAAGCTTAAAGATGCAACGGTTCTTGGCCACGGTGAAGAGCCACTGTTTAAGACATGTAAGAAATTTCATTACTTTGAAAGATGAATTTAATTTAATTTAAGTGCAACGGTTCTTAGGGCATCTCCAACCCCACTCCAAATCCTACTCCAAAATGAGTTTAGAGTAAAATTCTCTTCAACCCTACTCTAAATCCCACTTCAAAATGCAGTAAATGGTAGGTTTACTCCAAATATAGATTAATCTCATTTATCACTCATTTTTTTTTTCACTCTATTTTTTATTCTAAAATGGAGTAAGGTTGGAGTAAAACACAACTCCATTTTAGAGTAAAAATAGAGTTGTGGGTTGTAGATGGTCTTATGCTAGCTATTCATGCAATTTTAGTGTGAATGTGAACCCATTAAGAAAATATTATCATTTACTTTATGTTTTGTCCACTTTTTGTTCTAACGTATTGCAAGTTTTGGAAGTTGTAATCGCGGCACTCAGCTTCTTTAATGTGACAAACCTTGTTTTAGCAGTGAATTTTAAATACAATGAATCACAATTAATAACTTCGGATCATAGGGTTCAAGTAAAAGCTTTCGGATTGCGATTTTTTTTTAACTAAACATGAGTTTTTTAACTACTTATAAACTACTTTAGAAAGTATTTACGAGGTGGAGTTATTCGGGAAAAAAACAAAGAATTTGAAAGAAGCTAGTCTAGTTATCTATAAAATAAATTAATTTCAACTTTCAAGTCACAAATGTTTTGTTTTGGTAAAAAGTTGAAGTAAAAGTTATAAAGGCAGAGCAATTGATTGGTCTATATTTTTATCACACACTCACGTAACTTCATTTTCTTTATATACCATCGTTACGTTACATGACAGTACAAAAAAAACAAAATTGTATCTTTGACAACAATGGCTTTCGAAAATCGTCAACAAAGCAAGTTCGATGCCAAATTCAAAGCTATGTTCGAAACCAAAGACGAGAAGTTCCAGAAACTTTTAGAATGCTTAGAGCCGCTATGCAAAAACCAGGTACAGCTCAATGTACTGGCCAGTTTCTACGTTCGATATGATGTAGCCATTAATGTTTTACATGAAGAGACAATTCTTGAGTTTTGTAGGAAAGAGGATGCGAAACATGGTTTATACAAGTATGTGGAAGGATTGATTGAATGTAAGATGGTGAGTTTTGCATTACGCTAACCAGATACTCTTCGGGTTGTTCTTAAGGATATGGAATGTTTTGAAGTTCCGATTTCGGCTAATGATGGAGATTGTTGTGTTGGTAAGAAGAGGAAAGATATTGGATCGGTTGTTGGTCATGGTGAAGGAACATCGTCTAAGAGAAAGAAAAGTCGTAGTACTCATAAGAAGTAAATTTGACTTGGAGAAAGGTTTGATTTGATTGAAATATGTGAAACCCATCGAGACGAAAAACATGTGTGTTCTGTTTTTGTTTTGTTTCTCTTGTCTCTTTTGAAGTTTAATCTTTTTTTTTTTAA